GAGCGCGAGGAAACGTCTTGCTGATCTCGTCACACATGAAGGGCTTCTCGCCCGTGTGCTAGAGTGTTTGGAGGAGCGTGAGGGCGCGAGCTAGGCCGCAACCTCGGTGTGGGTGGCGTCTCTCTCTCTCCCTCTATGCATCGCATCTTCGCCGGCAGGGAGATCTAGGCAAGCAGGGGGGCAGCGTGAGGGCAGGAACACAGCTTGGGGTCCGTGGCAATGTTGTGTTAGTCTATATGCAATGCAAGTATATGTGCAGTGTTTGTCTATGTGCAGTGTTAGTCTATGAGCAACGTTAGTTTATGGGCAATATTAGTCTATGGACAATGCCCCGATCCACAAATACGACGACGGAGACATCATCACAGCGATGATACAACACTACTCCGCTACTCCTGCTGACGTGACATTGTGGTTGTTGTTGTTGTCTCTGCATCTACATCAGCAGCCATACGGAAGTAGCAGCAGTAGCAGCAGCTACAGCACCCCTCGGTGGGCACGGGCGCTGCTTAATGCAGCTCCTCGATATTTATTGCTGCGGAGGCTCGCGGTTCGAATCCTAGCGGCCGCCCTGTATAAAGTCGCCCCGGTGGCTAAGAGATGTCATCTACCTCGCCAGGTATACACGAGGTCGTGGGTTCGATCCCGACCCCGACGATTCCGGCTGCTTATTTGGAGTTTGCGTGTCTCTCCCGCTCCGCGTGGCCACATGGATTTTTCTCCGGATCCTCCTCCAGTTATTCCCCTCCACATTCAGACTCAACGTCACACGTATAGAGTATTTGGCTGCAAGACATTTCCACGTGATAATGACGATGATAAGCTCACTTCGTTGAGCTGTCATTTGTGATGGCCGAGTCGTTTCTGATAAAGAGCTGTACAACTCAGTGGGGCCCTTACCTGGTAACAATAAACAAAAACATTGTCGTCGCCTACGTCACAGTGGACAGCGACAGAGATCCCGTGACGTCATTCGTTAAGAGTCAGGCAGTGGTACGATGACGTCACGCTCCACAGTTGACGAGTTACCTGCCGATCGCTGCAACTAATCTCTTTGTTTATTTTTTATGATAGCTCGACGAAGTGGCGGCTTCTCATCGTCGTCGTGTGGAAATTCATAGCAGCAGCCAAAATCCTCGCTCCATCTCCGTGGCGGACGTCCTCCCGGGTGGTTCCCCACTTGTCCCCGGGCAGCGTGCAGAGGCCACGCGGGTCCTCTGTGTGTGTCTCTGTGTGTGTGTCTCTGTGTGTGTCTCTGTGTGTGTCTCTGTGTGTGTGTCTATGTGTGTGTGTCTGTGTGTGTCTCTGTGTGTGTGTCTATGTGTGTGTGTCTGTGTGTGTCCCTGTGTGTGTGTCTCTGTGTGTGTCTCTGTGTGTGTCTCTGTGTGTGTGTCTATGTGTGTGTGTCTGTGTGTGTCTCTGTGAGTGTCTCTGTGTGTGTGTCTGTGTGTGTTTCCTCGCGGTGCTGGATGGGCAACGCTGTCATGGACAGTGCTGTGGGGGGAGGGCCAATTCCAATTGGTCCTCTCCCCTCATGGCGTCTGTGACCACCACAGTGGCTAAATGGGTGCGAGGGGCTGGTAACCCCTCCACCTTCAATAAATTAACACTAAACCACAACTTAAATATCTAACTAATAAGCTTGTGCCGGAGAGACTGGCTCCGCCAGATGGGGTTTGGCCAGGATCAGCTCAATAACAACGGTAGGAGGCTGCTAGATTTTTGTGCAGCCCATGGGCTTGTAATTACCAACACGCTGTTCCGGCATCGGCGCATCCACACAACATCATGGATGCATGCCGGGTCCAGAAAATCTGCTGGACTACATAGTGATGCGAGCCCATGTCCTTGACACCAAGACCTACCGTGGAGCTGCTCTGCCCTCTGACCATCGACTAGTCATCTGTAAGATGCGCCTGCCATTCTTCCACTCCGGTGGTGGGTGTACACCCAGGACCCCATTCCAACCAAAAGTGGCCTGGTCTCAGCTGATGAAAGTTGCAAGCGAGAATTTCATCATTGCTTGGGGCTGGGGTTGGCATCGTCCCCCACTCCTCCTGATGTCGAGGGGAAGTGGGTGAGGTTTAGGACTGTGACTCATGCAGCTGCAATGGCTGCTTTGGGTACGCGGTCCAGACCTCCCCAGAGACCCGGATGGTTGAGAAAAAGCGACAGGCCCACTCTAATCGTCTACAGCATCCCACGTCAGAGAATGAGGAGGCTTACCGCAGCCTTTGCTCGGTGGTTCGGAGAGCCGTGAGGCGCTGCAAGGATGGGTAGTGGTCGCGGGTTTCTGAGGAGAATGGAGTCTGTCTCAGTGGCCTGCGATCACAAATCCCTATTTAATTCCATCAAAAAAGTTACCTGCAGCACCACACCTATTTCCATCATTAGGGGAAAAACTGTGATCCAATCTCCAACCCCCAGAAACAGGTTTGCAGATTTGCTGAGCATGTCTGTGAGGTCCTGGGGGAGGGGAAATCCCTCAGCCAGGAAAACATCGTGGCACAATGTGGGGATGACCCTGCTGAGGCTGCGGTGCCTCAAATATTGTAAGAGGAAGTCACCCCCTGTGAGTGGCTGGCTGTGGTGCCATTTGATGAGTAAGTACTGAAGGCGATCCAGAGTCTGAGACCAGGAAAGGCACAGGGCAGAGATGATCTCCCAAGCAAAATGCTGAGGGAGGGTGGCGTTTGTGCACAGACTGCCCTACATGACATCATAACAACAGTCTGGGCCACTGGACGGGTTCCGCAGGATTGGAAGGATGCCCTGGTGGTCTCCCTCTTTAAGAAGGGGACCGCACAGACTGTAACAACTACAGGGGAATTTCACTCCTCAGTGTGCTGGGAAAGGTCCTGGCAAGGATTATTCAACATCACCTTGCTAGGCACGCTGAGGAGAGGCTTGCGGAGCACCAATGCGGTTTCAGGAAAGGGCGGTCCTGCACAGATGCCATATTTTCTGTCCGTCTGCTACAGCAGAGGTGTAGGGAATTCCAACAAGACCTACAACTCTGCTTTATTGACTTGGTCAAGGCCTATGATACCATCAGCAGGCCTGGGCTCTGGGTTGTACTTTGTGCTTTCGGAGTCCCTGACCCTCTGCTCACGCTCATTAAGGACCTTCATGATGGTGAATGGGCCCGGGTAAAGCTACGTGGCCGGGAGTCAGAGCCATTCCCTGTATACCTTGGAGTGCAACAGGGATGTTCTCTGGCTCCCACATTATTTAACATCTATTTTTACCACGTAGTTCATGAAGCCTTCAATAGCTGTACTGGAGGAATTTCCATTTGTTACAGATATAATATGAGGCTGATCGATGCCCGGGTGCGGTCAAGGGATGGCTCCCTATTGCTCAACCACGTTATGTATGCCGATGATCTGGTAATTGCTGCTCACTCAGAGGAGGAGTTGGAGACGCTGCTGCTAAAACTGGAGCGTGTCACTAAGAGATGGTGCCTTACCATCAGCCCCACCAAAACTAAGCACCTGCCTGGGTATTTTGTACCATCGGACACTCCACTTTACTGTACTGGTTACAGTAAATCTGGCTGTGACGGTCCCACCTGATGACGGAGACTTGTGTTGCCTCAGAAACGTCGTGATTTATAATTTCTATTTTTTATTTCTGTTATTATTTCTATTATTTTTATTTTTATTATTTATTTTTACCTACGTGACTTTACCGAAAAAACCTAAGAGTATGGACACTCCACTCCCACAACTCCCAATCGGTGAAGGGGCAGTTGTGGACAGAGTGCAGAGTTTCCCATACCTGGGCAGTGTGCTCATGACCAGCTCCGGTTTAGCAGCAGAGGTCTCTCTCTGAATCAGTCGAGCGGCACTATCTTTTCATCGGTTGTGTAACGCTGTGTGGAAGCTACCTGGTCTGCCGCTCCGCACGAAGCTTCAGGTCTTCTCGGCTACGGTCATTCCCTCCCTTTTCTACTCTTGTGAAAGGTGGACCCCCCTAATAGAGCATCTTCGCCGGTTATAACATTTAGGCTGGCCTGCCTACCATCCATCCTGGGTTTAACCAGGCTGGATTGTGTGAGGAGCTCACAAATCCTTGAAAGATCTGGGCAAAGTCCCATCGGTGAGCTCCTCACGTAGGCAAGGCTGCGTTGGCTGGGTCATGTAGCCCACATGCCCAGTCACCGCATGCCAAAACAGCTTTTCGGCCGGATAGAGGGGGCTAAACGGTCGCGGCACGGGCTAGAGAAGAAATGGAGTGATGTGGTACAGGAGGACGTGGAGCTGAGTGGACTTGCCCATGACTGGTACCAGCGGTGTCAAGATCGGCCTCTGTGGAGGAGGCTCGTGAAGGACGCTGCTGGGCAGTTGGAGGCAGTCACCCTCCAACAACAACGGAGGGCGGAGGAGCGACGCTCACAACAACGAGCAGAATACCGGGAGGCTAAAGCACAGCAAGTTGGCACAGTTAGGGGGCACAAGTGTTGCATTAGCCAGTCATCTCATTCATTTCAGTCAGTCGACCCGTGGCACCTGGGTCTGCCCCATGACCTCCTGCCAGCGGGCGTTCAACACTTAACGTGGTCTCATGGTGCACATGGCCTGGCACAAGCGTCGTAGTGATGTCACCGCCACTTAGTGGCGAATGGCGGTTGTTGTTTTTGTTGTTGTTGCGTCTCTGAGTGTGTCTGTGTGTGTGTTTCTGTGTGTGTGTCTGTTTGTGTCTGTGTGTGTGTCTCTGTGTGTGTCTGTGTGTGTGTCTTGTGGAAAGCGGTAGTGTAGTGGTTAGCATGCTGCGCTACGAAACCCGCGACCCTTTTTCGATTCCCGCTCATGGCTACCAACACCAGTGACGATTATCTGAACCAGTCCTGAGCCTCAAATGAGTACCTGGTGCGGTGTAAACATTTTCCACTAGGGGACAAAGGCGGCCGGGCGTGGTGCTGGCCACCTACCCCTTCACAGTTATTGCCTAACAGTCCACTAAGGCTATACGGGGGATCTTTGTCTTTTCGTGTGGAGGTGCACAACGGACGCTGCATCCAGCTGGCCGTATTCCACGACACTCCGCTGGGCTACGACGACTTCGTCGCCGACTGCACCCTCAGCTTCGATGAGCTCCTGCAGCGCGGGGACACCCACTTCGAGCAGTGGGTGGGTGGCGGTGGTGGTGGTGGAGGTGGTGATGGTGGAGGTGATGATGATGGTGGTGATGGTGGAGGTGGTGGTGGTGGAGATGAGGATGGTGGACAGTGGCGGCTCCTGCAAAATCTTTCAGGGGGGGCAAATGTCTGGATGATTGATAAGGATAAGGTCTACCCATGCAATGGATAAATTAACAGCTTAAGCATGTAAAGGCAACTTCACTTCTTTAATATTAATGAAAAATAAAGTGACTCTTACAATACATCTTGTTTGTTTCTATACTCACTATTATAACAAACCACTCAAGTTTATTTTATTAAAGATTCCACTAGATTTTGATTTAAAACTTTCGTGACTGCAGGGATTCATCTTCTTGGTTCTTTCGGTAAAGTCACGTAGAAGGGAAGTAACAAAATAATAAAAATAAAACATAATAAAATTATTCTCACGACGTTTCGGCCACAACGCAAGCAGCCGTCCTCAGGTGAAAACCAGGTCCGTCGAGGCGACAGAGTCTGAATGAAACAGCACACGAGCTTGGAGCATATATATAAGCTGGGCGCCTTGACAAAGGAATTTGCATATCAAGAGGAATTTAGCATATTTATGGGAAATGCAGGAATGTGATTAGTACTGCATATGCATGTGCATTATGCAGGATTAACAGCATCAAAGGGAGCTGCAGTTGCTGCTGCTGCTGCAGTTGCTGCTGCTGCTGCAGTTGCTGCTGCTGCAGTTGCTGCTGCTGCTGCAGTTGCTACTGCTGCTGCAGTTGCTGCTGCTGCTGCAGTTGCTGTCTTATCCATTTTAATATAACACTATGTATTATTCTACCCACCCTAATGTGTATCACACTGCTATATATTTACTATACAATTACGACACCATACATTACTCTGCACACTGCACCATGCCAGTGAGTGGAACGTTGTGGCCGAAACGTCGTGAGAATAACTTGCGTTGTGGCCGAAACGTCGTGAGAATAATTTTATTATGTTTTATTTTTATTATTTTATTACTTCCCTTCTACGTGACTTTACCGAAAGAACCAAGAAGAAGATTCCACTAGGTGGCAATATATTATATTGTTGGATGAAACGTGCTTACGTATGATGACGTAAGCACGTATGATGACGTAAGCACGTTAGGGCTCGCCCTCCCGGAAGCCATAGAGAATGCATTGGAGCGCCCCCGTTCGAAAAAAACATCTTTCAATGTAAGTCTATGGGGCCACTCGGGGCGATTCTCAGCCGGAGTGAAATCGCCCCAAAAGAGGCGGTACTCCACAGAACGTGACATGACGCTGATTGGACTATATCCAGAGGCTGCAGTGACGGCTAGCGTGACTCTGTGGTTCAATGACATTGGTGGTGCGTTGCCCAATCGCCCTAATGAAGAAACCGCCCCTGATGGTGGAGGTGGTGATGGTGGTGATTGTGGTGGTGGTAGTCATAGGCCTTGACCCGGTCAATAAAGCAGAGATGTAGGTCTTGTCGGAATTCCCTATACCTCTGCTGTAGCAGACGGATAGAAAATATGGCATCTGTGCAGGACCGCCCTTTCCTGAAACCGCATTGGGGCTCCGCAAGCCTCTCCTCAGCGTGCCTAGCAAGGCGATGTTGAATAATCCTTGCCAGGACCTTTCCCGGCATCAGTAGGCCTGGGCTCTGGGTTGTTGTGCTTTCGGAGTCCCTGACCCTCCCTTCACGATCATGATGGTGAGTGGGCCCTGGTAAAGCCACGTGGCTGGGAGTCGGAGCCTTTCCCTGTACACCTTGGGGTGCAGCAGGGATGTCCTCTGGCTCCCACATTATTTAACATCTATTTCGACCACGTAGTTTGTGAAGTCTTCAATAGCTGTACCGGAGGAATTTCCATCTGGCACAGATACAATGGGAGGCTGATCGATGTCCGGGTGCGGTCAAGGGAATGCTCCGTATTGCTCAACCATGTTATGTATGCCAATGATCTGGTAATTTCTGCTCACTCAGAGGAGGAGTTGGAGGCGCTGCTGCTGAACCTGGATCTTGCCACAAAGAAGTGGGGTCTTACCATCAGCCCCATCAAAATTAAGCACCTGCCTGGGTATTTTGTACCATCGGACACTCCACCCCCACAACTACCAATTGGTGATGGTTCAGTTGTGGAAACAGTGGAGCATTTCCCATACCTGGGCGGTGTGCTCATGACCGGCTCTGGTTTGACAGCAGAGGTCTCACTCCGAATCAGTAGAGCGGCATTATCTGTTCATCGGTTGCATAACGCTGTGTGGTAGCTACCTGGTTTGTTAATCCGCACGAAGCTTCGGGTCTTCTCGGCCACGGTCATTCCCTCCCTTCTCTATGCTTGCAAAACGTGGACCCCCCTAATGTAATATCTTCGCCGGTTAGAAACATTTAGGCCGGCCTGCCTACGATCCATCCTGGGTTTAACCAGGCTGGATTGTGTGAAGAGCTCACAAATCCTTGAAATATCTGGACAAAGTCCCATCGGTGAGCTCCTCCGGCAGGCAAGCTGCGTTGGCTGGGCCATGTAGCCCGCATGCCCAGCCACCGCATGCCTAAACAGCTTTTGTTCAGCCGGATCGAGGGGGCTAAACGGGCGTGGCACGGGCTCGAGAAGAGATGGAGTGACGTGGTACAGGAGAACGTGGGGCTGAGTGGACTTGCTGATGACTGGTATTAGCAGTGTCAAGATCGGCCTTGGTGGAGGAGGCTCGTGAAGGACGCTACTGGGCAGTTGGAGGCAGTCGCCCTCCAACAACAACGGAGGGCGGAGGAGCGACGCTCACAACAACGAGCGGAGCGCCGGGTGGCTAAAGCACAGCAAGTTGGCACAGTAGGGGGCCCAGGTGGTGCATCAGTTAGTAATCTCAGTCATCTCAGTCATCTCAGTCAGTCGGCCCGTGGCATCTTGGTCTGCCCCGTGACCTCCTGCCAGCGGGTGTTCGACACTTCACGTAGCTTCAAGATGCACATAGCTTGGCACAAGCGTCGTGTTGACGTGACCGCCACTTAGTGGCGAATGGCGGTTCTTGTTGGAGGTGGTGGTGGAGGTGATAGCAGTGATGATGTCGCTATTAATGTTCATGGGAACTCACCAACCCACTCACCACCACGTCCTCCCCCTCACTCATTCGCTCACCCAACGTACGCACTCACCACCCCCTTGACCCACTCACTGACTCCCCCCCCCCCACAACTCCCCCCCTGCCCGTCCCCCCGCCCCTCCCCCACCCTCGCCCCTCCCCCCGCACCCCCCGCCCAGCTGGATCTGGAGCCCGAGGGTCGCGTCTGGGTGGAGATCGACCTCGAGGGCACCGCGAGCCACGAGGAGGCCGGGGGGCCCGGGGGGACCGGGGCGGCCGCCTTCGTGACGCCCCCCCCGGCCTCGCCCGGCCTCGTCGAGGGCCGCGCCGCCGCCGCGCTGCCCGGGGCCGGCGGTGGAGGCGGCGGTCTGGGCCTGCCCACGGAGTGCCTCGCCAAGAGTACGCGGGCCTGCGGGTGTCTGTGTGTGTGACACTGTGTGTGTGACACTGTGTGTGTGACACTGTGTGTGTGACACTGTGTGTGTGTGGAGAGCGGTAGTGTAGCGGTTAGCGCGCTGCGCTATGAACCTGGCGACACGGGTTCGATTCCCGCTCACGGCCAACACCAGTGACGATTATCTGAACCGGTCCCGGGCCTCCCCTAGGTCGACTCAGCCTCAAATGAGTACCTGGTGCGGTGTGTAAACATTGCCACTAGGGAGACAAAGGCGGTCGGGCGTGGTGCTGGCCACCCACCCCCTCGTGTACCGTTCCGGCCTTCATAGGTGCTCACTAACAGCACTTGCCCCAGCAGTCTGTTAAAGGCTATACAGGGGTTCTTTGTTTGTGTGTCACTGTGTGTGTGTCACTGTGCGTGAGGGTGCCACTGTGTGTGTGTGTCACTGTGTGTACGTGTCACTGTGTGTGAGTGTGTGTCACTGTGTGTGTCTCTGTGTGTGTGTGTTACAGTGTGTGAGGGTCATACTGTGTGTGCCACTGTGTGTGTGTGTCACTGTGTGTGTGTGTCACTGTGTGTGTGTGTGTGTCACTGTGTGTGTGTCGCTGTGTGTGTGTGTGTCACTGTGTGTGTGTCACTGGGGAGCGGTGGTGTAGCGGTTAGCACGCTGCGCTATGAACCTGGCGACCCGAGTTCGATTCCCGCTCACGGCCAACACCAGTGACGATTATCTGAACCGGTCCTGGGCCTCCCCTAGGTCGACTCAGCCTCAAATGAGTACCCGATGTGTAAACATCGCCACTGGGGAGACAAAGGCGGTCGGGCGTGGTGCTGGCCACCCACCCCCTCGTGTACCGTTCCGACCTTCATAGGTGCTCGCTAACAGCACTTGCCCCTACAGTCTGTTATAGGCTATACGGGGGAACTTTGTTGTGTCAATGTGTGTGTGTGTCGCTGTGTGTGTGTCGCTGTGTGTGTGTGTCACTGTGTGTGTGTCACTGTGTGTGTGTGTGTTACTGTGTGTGAGGGTCACACTGTGTGTGTGTCACTGTGTGTGTGTGTCACTGTGTGTGTGTCGCTGTGTGTGTGTGTGTTACTGTGTGTGAGGGTCACACTGTGTGTGTGTCACTGTGTGTGTGTGTCACTGTGTGTGTGTGCCACTGTGTGTTGGGAGTGGTCATGTAGTGGTTAGTGGCTGCACCACGCTACGAACCCGGCGGCCCGAGTTCGATTCCCGCTCACGGCCACCAACACCTGTGACGATGATCTGAACCGGTCCTGGGCCTCCGCTAGGTCGACTCAGCCTCAAATGATTTACCTGGTGCAGTGTGTAGTAAACATCGCCACTGGGGAGACAACGGCGGCCGGGGGCGGCCTTAGCCACTCGCGAGGCGCCCCTCTCGCTAACAGCAAGCACCTGGCCCCAGTGACGTGTGTGGGCTACATGGGGCACCTTTGCCTGTTTAGAGTCGGAGGAGCTGGGCACCTTCCGCGAGCGGCCGTTCGCGCGCAAGCGGCAGGGCGCCGTCAGGCGGCGCGTCCACCAGGTGAGCGGCCACAAGTTCATGGCCACCTACCTGCGGCAGCCCACCTACTGCTCACACTGCCGGGAGTTCATCTGGTGAGTCGCTCGCTCACTCGCCACACTCACTCACCCACTCACCCACCCACTCACTCGCCACACTCACTCGCCACACTCACCCACCCACTCACTCGCCACACTCACTCGCCACACTCACTCGCCACACTCACTCGCCACACTCACTCGCCACACTCACTCGCCACACTCACTCGCCACACTCACTCGCCACACTCACTCGCCACACTCACTCGCCACACTCACTCGCCACACTCACCCGCCCACTCACTCGCCCACTCACTCGCCACACTCACCCACCCACTCACTCGCCACACTCACTCGCCACACTCACTCGCCACACTCACTCGCCACACTCACTCGCCACACTCACCCGCCCACTCACTCGCCCACTCACTCGCCACCCACTCACTCGCCACTCACTCACTCGCCACACTCACCCACTCACTCGCTACCTTCACCCACTCATTCACTCACTCGCCAAAACTCACCCACTCACTCACCACACTCACCCACTCACTCGCCACACTCACCCACTCACTCGCCACACTCACTCACCCACTCACTCGCCACACTCACTCACCCAGTCACTCACCACACTCACCCACTCACTCGCCACACTCACTCACCCACTCACTCGCCACACTCACCCACTCACTCGCCACACTCACCCACTCACTCGCCACACTCACCCACTCACTCGCCACACTCACCCACTCACTCGCCACACTCACCCATTCACTCGCCACACTCACTCATCCACTCACTCACCACACTCACCCACTCACTCGCCACACTCACCCACTCACTCGCCACACTAACCCACTCACTCACCACACTCACCCACTCACTCGCCACACTCACTCACCCACTCACTCGCCACACTCACTCACCCACTCACTCGCCACACTCACCCACTCACTCGCCACACTCACCCACTCACTCACCACACTCACCCACTCACTCGACACACTCATCCACTCACTCGCCACACTCACCCACTCACTCACCACACTCACCCACTCACTCGCCACACTCACCCACTCACTCGCCACACTCACTCACCCACTCACTCGCCACACTCACCCACTCACTCACCACACTCACCCACTCACTCGCCACACTCACCCACTCACTCACCACACTCACCCACTCACTCGCCACACTCACCCACTCACTCGCCACACTCACCCACTCACTCACCACACTCACCCACTCACTCACCACACTCACCCACTCACTCACCACACTCACCCACTCACTCGCCACACTCACCCACTCACTCGCCACACTCACTCACCCACTCACTCGCCACACTCACCCACTCACTCACCACACTCACCCACTCACTCGCCACACTCCACCCACTCACTCGCCACACTCACCCACTCATTCGCCACACTCACCCACTCACTCGCCACACTCACCCACTCACTCACCACACTCACCCACTCACTCGACACACTCACCCACTCACTCACCACACTCACCCACTCACTCGCCACACTCATTCACCAATCACTCACCACCCACCCACTCACCCCACTCACTCGCCACACTCAACCACTCACTCGCCCACACTCACTCACTCACTCACCACACTCACCCACTCACTCGCCATACTCACCAACTCACTCACCACACTCACCCACTCACTCGCCACACTCACCCACTCACTCGCCACACTCACCCACTCACTCGCCACACTCACCCACTCACTCGCCACACTCACCCACTCACTCGCCACACTCACCCACTCACTCACCACACTCACCCACTCACTCGCCACACTCACCCACTCACTCGCCACACTCACCCACTCACTCGCCACACTCACCCACTCACTCGCCACACTCACCCACTCACTCACCACACTCACCCACTCACTCGCCACACTCATCCACTCACTCACCACACTCACCCATTCACTCGCCACACTCACTCATCCACTCACTCACCACACTCACCCACTCACTCGCCACACTCACCCATTCACTCACCACACTCACCCACTCACTCACCACACTCACCCACTCACTCGCCACACTCATTCACTCACTCACCACACTCACCCACTCACTCGCCACACTCACCCACTCACTCGCCACACTCACCCACTCACTCACCACACTCACCCACTCACTCACCACACTCACCCACTCACTCACCACACTCACCCACTCACTCGCCACACTCACCCACTCACTCGCCACACTCACTCACCCACTCACTCGCCACACTCATCCACTCACTCGCCACACTCACCCATTCACTCGCCACACTCACTCGCCACACTCATCCACTCACTCGCCACACTCACCCACTCACTCGCCACACTCACCCACTCACTCGCCACACTCACCCACTCACTCGCCACACTCACCCACTCACTCGCCACACTCACCCACTCACTCGCCACACTCACCCACTCACTCGCCACACTCACCCACTCACTCGCCACACTCACCCACTCACTCGCCACACTCACCCACTCACTCGCCACACTCACCCACTCACTCGCCACACTCACCCACTCACTCGCCACACTCACCCACTCACTCACCACACTCACCCACTCACTCACCACACTCATCCACTCACTCGCACACACTCACCACTCACTCGCCACACTCACCCACTCACTCACCACACTCACCACCTCACTCGCCACCTCACTCACCCACTCACTCCGCCACACTCACCCACTCACTCACCACACTCACCACCCTCCATCACGATCACACCCACCCATCACTCACCACACTCACCCACTCACTCGCCACACTCACCCACTCACTCGCCACACTCACCCACTCACTCGCCCACCTCACCACTCACTCCCACACCACTCACCCACTCACTCGCCACACTCACCCACTCACTACCACACTCACCCACTCACTCACCACACTCACCCACTCACTCGCCACACCTCACCCCACTCACTCGCCACTCACTCACCCACTCACTCGCCACACTCACCCACTCACTCGCACCTCACCACCCACTCACCCTCACTCGCCACACTCACCCCCACTCACTCGCCACACTCACACACCTCACTCGCCACACTCACCCACAATCACTCACCACACTCACCGCACTCACTCGCCACACTCACCCACTCACTTGCCACACTCACCCCTCACTCACCACACTCACCCACATCACACTCGCCACACTCACTCACCCCACTCACCCACTCACTCGCCACACTCACCCACCACTCGCCACACTCACTCCACCACTCACTCGCCACACTCATCCACTCACTCGCCACACTCACCCATTCACTCGCCACACTCACTCGCCACACTCATCCACTCACTCGCCACACTCAACCACTCACTCGCCCACTCACTCTCGCCACACTACCCACTCACTCGCCACACTCACCCACTCACTCGCCACCTCACCCACTCACTCGCCACACTCACCCACTCACTCGCCACACTCACCCACTCCCTCGCCACACTCACCCACTCCATCGCCACACTCACCCACTCACTCGCCACACTCACCCACTCACTCGCCACACTCACCCACTCACTCGCCACACTCACCCCTCACTCACCACACTCACCCACTCACTCACCACACTCATCCACTCACTCGCCACACTCACCCACTCACTCACCACACTCACCCACTCACTCGCCACACACTCACCCACTCACTCGCCACACTCACTCACCCACTCACTCGCCACACTCACCCACTCACTCACCACACTCACCCACTCACTCGCCACACTCACCCACTCACTCACCACACTCACCCACTCACTCGCCACACTCACCCACTCACTCACCACACTCACCCACTCACTCGCCACACTCACCCACTCACTCGCCACACTCACTCACCCACTCACTCGCCACACTCACCCACTCACTCACCACACTCACCCACTCACTCACCACACTCACCCACTCACTCGCCACACTCACCCACTCACTCGCCACACTCACTCACCCACTCACTCGCCACACTCACCCACTCACTCGCCACACTCACCCACTCACTCGCCACACTCACCCACTCACTCGCCACACTCACCCACTCACTCGCCACACTCACCCACTCACTCGCCACACTCACCCACTCACTCACCACACTCACCCACTCACTCGCCACACTCACCCACTCACTTGCCACACTCACCCACTCACTCACCACACTCACCCACTCACTCGCCACACTCACCCACTCACTCACCACACTCACACTCGCCACACTCACCCACTCACTCGCCACACTCACCCACTCACTCACCACACTCACCCACTCACTCGCCACACTCACCCACTCACTCGCCACACTCACCCACTCACTCGCCACACTCACCCACTCACTCGCCACACTCACCCACTCACTCGCCACACTCACCCACTCATTCACCACACTCACCCACTCACTCACCACACTCATCCACTCACTCGCCACACTCACCCACTCACTCACCACACTCACCCACTCACTCGCCACACTCACCCACTCACTCGCCACACTCACTCACCCACTCCACTCGCACACTCACCCACTCACTCGCACACTCACCACTCACTCACCACACTCACCCACTCACTCGCCACACTCAACCACTCACTCGCCACACTCACCCACTCACTCACCATACTCACCCACTCACTCACCACACTCACCCACTCACTCACCACACTCACCCACTCACTCGCCACACTCACCCACTCACTCACCACACTCACCCACTCACTCACCACACTCACCCACTCACTCGCCACACTCACCCACTCACTCGCCACACTCACTCACCCACTCACTCGCCACACTCACCCACTCCACTCACCCACACTCACCACACTCACTCGCCACACTCACCCACTCACTCGCCACACTCACCCACTCACTCGCCACACTCACCCACTCATTCGCCACACTCACCCACTCACTCACCACACTCACCCACTCACTCACCACACTCACCCACTCACTCGCCAAACTCACCCACTCACTCGCCACACTCACCCACTCACTCGCCACACTTCACCCACTCACCCGCCACACTCACTCACCCACTCACTCGCCACACTCACTCACCCACTCACTCGCCACACTCACCCACTCACTCGCCACACTCACCCACTCACTCGCCACACTCACCCACTCACTCGCCACACTCACCACACTCGCATTCGCCACACTCACCCACTCACTCACCACACTCATCACAATCACCCACTCACTCGCCACACTCACCCACTCACTCGCCGCACTCACCCACTCACTCGCCACACTCACCCACTCACTCGCCACACTCACCCACTCACTCGCCACACTCACCCACTCACTCGCCACACTCACCCACTCACTCACCACACTCACCCACTCACTCGCCACACTCACCCACTCACTCGCCACATTCACCCACTCACTCACCACACTCACCCACTCTACTCACCACACTCACCCACTCACTCACCACCACTCACCCACTCACTCGCCACACTCACCCACTCACTCCAACTCACCCACTCACAACTCCACTCACCACTCACTCGCCACACTCACCCACTCACTCGCCACACTCACCCACTCACTCGCCACACTCACCCACTCACTCACCACACTCACCCACTCACTCGCCACACTCATCCACTCACTCACCACACTCACCCATTCACTCGCCACACTCACTCATCCACTCACTCACCACACTCACCCACTCACTCGCCACACTCACCCATTCACTCACCACACTCACCCACTCACTCACCACACCACCCACTCACTCGCCACACTCATTCAATCACTCACCACACTCACCACTCACTCGCCACACTCACCCACTCACTCGCCACACTCACCCACTCACTCACACACTCACCCACGTCCTCACCCCACTCACCCACTCACTCACCACACTCACCACACTCACTCGCACACACTCACCCACTCAACTCGCCACACTCACTCACCACTCACTCGCCACACTCATCCACTCACTCGACACACTCACCCATTCACTCGCCACACTCACTCGCCACACTCATCCACTCACTCGCCACACTCACCCACTCACTCGCCACACTCACCTCACCCACCACTCGCCACACCACCCACCACTCGCCACACTCACCCACTCACTCGCCACACTCACCCACTCACTCGCCACACTCACCCACTCACTCGCCACACTCACCCCTCACTCGCCACACTCACCCACTCACTCGCCACACTCACCCACTCACTCGCCACACTCACCCACTCACTCGCCCACACTCACCCACTCACTCACCACACTCACCCACTCACTCACCACACTCATCCACTCACTCGCCACACTCACCCACTCACTCACCACACTCACCCACTCACTCGCCACACTCACCCACTCACTCGCCACACTCACTCACCCACTCACTCGCCACACTCACCCACTCACTCACCACACTCACCCACTCACTCGCCACACTCACCCACTCACTCACCACACTCACCCACTCACTCGCCACACTCACCCACTCACTCACCACACTCACCCACTCACTCGCCACACTCACCCACTCACTCGCCACACTCACTCACCCACTCACTCGCCACACTCACCCACTCACTCACCACACTCACCCACTCACTCACCACACTCACCCACTCACTCGCCACACTCACCCACTCACTCGCCACACTCACTCACCCACTCACTCGCCACACTCACCCACTCACTCGCCACACTCACCCACTCACTCGCCACACTCACCCACTCACTCACCACACTCACCCACTCACCACTCTCATCCACTCACTCGCCACACTCACCCACTCACTCACCACACTCACCCACTCACTCGCCACACTCACCCACTCACTCGCCACACTCACCCCCACTCACTCGCCACACTCACCCACTCACTCACCACACTCACCCACTCACTCGCCACACTCACCACTCACTCACCACACTCACCCCTCACTCGCCACACTCACCCACTCACTCACCACACTCACCCACTCACTCGCCACACTCACCCACTCACTCGCCACACTCACTCACCCACTCACTCGCCACACTCACCCACTCACTCACCACACTCACCCACTCACTCACCACACTCACCCCTCACTCGCCACACTCACCCACTCACTCGCCACACTCCTCACCACTCACTCGCCACATCACCCACTC